ACAAAATAATATTTGTCGAGGGATCAAATCGCAGGGAGAAACAGATTCTTTCCTTTAGAATTTCCAGGAAAAGTATATAGCAGCTATTTGATCAAATTTAATGTCAATAAGAAGACTTTTGGTTCATCTCAGTAGACTTTGGGCTCACCCTCGGAGATGCCATAGTAGTCTTTACAATCGGTTTCACAATAAAGCATCATAGGAACTAGGTGTATCGGAGAGTTGACCTGACAAGTGACCTCATAACCAGCAAGCACAGAATTGAGCTTCGAATAATATCAGTAGCTTATCTTGGTCATGGAAAGGTGGGACAAGTCGGTGATAGGAAGTTATATAAGTTCCCCGTTCGAAATATATCATTTCACAACTTCGTGAGATAATAATCAATACTCGAAGAAAGCATCCCCATAAAAAACAAAAATGAAAAAAAAATAACAAAAAAAACAAAAAAAAAAACAACAAAAAAAAGTGCTCGTCCTTCACGACGAGATTAATTTACGAAGTCCAGGTGTAAATCAATAATAATTTTAGGTATACATAACTTAACCTCCTGTTTTTATTGATATTTAAAATGATAATGTTAACTTTAATCCATGTTCATTTTCGCTTTATCTGTTTCTTTCCAAAAAAAGGCCAAGTAATGAGTTTTTTTTTCCTTCTAAAGTATTTTCTTTCTCTTTCACTTCCAATAGCCCCATGCGTCTTAGTGAAGTTATTGCCTTGTTTGGGGTGAATTGATTTAAAAAAATGGGATCTAGTCACTTTCAGTTAAAAACACAAGCGCGGAAACACGCACTCGGTTTCTCTACCACATTTCTTTTTTTTAAGCATTTCACCCCAAGCAAGGCGGGAGTGTCACTAGCACGCAAGGGGGTTAGAGAAGGTGGGAGCGAGAGTAAAGAGGCGTGATAGAGGAAAGGATGAAGAGAAAGGCAGGGAATAGATCAAGGCATCTGGAGATGTCGATTGACATTACATTTGAATATTTGGAGATTATAACTATCAGAGTAACAAATAATAGGAAGGGAATTCCACAGATGGGAGGTGCGAGACATGAAGCTATTGGAGTAGAAGAGATGGCTACATTTAATTGTTTCGACAGTGAAAGGGTGGGGCACGAGATGCCAGTCTAGTAGCACGTTTAAATTCATGCAGTCTGGGAACTAGCGAAAGTAGCTCATCGAAGCAGTTACCATGAAAGTATTTGTAGAAAAGACAGGAGGAGGCGACGGCACGTCTGTGAGAGAGCGACTGTAGACGAGATGTCAGATCAGAGCCAATTACATTGCATATCTGTCTCTGGATTTTGTCGAGGACCTTAAGGCGAACAGCATGGGCACCAGACCATATATGGCAGCAGTATACCATGCAAGGGCGAATGGTCGATTTATAGATTTGAAGGAGGGACTCGGTCGAGAAAAACTCTCTTGCTAGAAAATAAAGAGAATGTGTTCCCCACAAGAGTTTCAAACATTCAGTAATCTTTCTAGAATTTGAAAGTAGTTCTACAGAGGGAATGTTTAATGTTAGAATTGCCTGTACAGAGGGTTCTCTACTTATGACAGATTTCCCTTACTACGATGCGTCGTAACGCGATTTTCCGTGTAAGTCGGAACGTGCCTGCGATTTGCCGGGAATAAGCACTTACGTCGCTCACCTATGCTAACGTAATAGTAAAGTCATAATCTCGGACACAGCAACTCATTTCTATGATAGATGATAACATGATTAGAACGAAAAAAATATCATTGGCTCTCGATAAATGAGAAGACGAAGCATAAGATATTGTCTTTCTTGCAGTATTTGAAAGCAGCAGCATCTCTGAAAATATTTTCTATCGGGCATTCACCAACTCATAGTTTAACAAGAAAATATCTTTATCTCGTACATGGAAAATCAATATGTATATACATATGGAGATGTTTTAAGCGACAGCCAAACGAAGCTTCCGGTCAATGTTCGTCGTTGTCCCCCTCTTTTCAAAGCGTTTAACAATGTCTAATTTCCTTTTCATTGTGATGGCTATCCCTTTCTTCGAAACAACGCCAAGCTTGGGAAACATAATGAAGAGAAATAATTTTTCACAAGCACAACATTAAAGAAAGAGAGCGAATGCACAGTAATTTAATATGGCGTAAAAAGCAGGAACTGGCATACGCCGACTTATGTACGAGGCAAACGGCATAAGTCGAACGAAGATTAATGGATGCGTCGTAATTACGAATCGTCGTAGATTTGGACTGTCGTAACCCGGGGACTTACTGTATTAACAAATATCAAACGTTGTCGGTTAAAGCTGTGTATTTTCGGAGATGAGCCATCCTTATTTACTCGGCGTATTTTAGTTTTGACAGAAAGCCAGCGAGGATAGAAGTCACTCAGTTAAATACCATGCAATATACACGTTTGGGCGATCATGTCTCTTTCGAGTTTGGACTGACCAGGCAGAAAACTTTTCTCCCCGCAGTATGCTGCCGTTTCATTCTAGAACCCTGTCCGTCCTACAATTTATTCCTATCTTAGTGAAGAAGACATGGATTTATTAATGGTATTTGCATGTAAGTGAATATAATAAACCCAACTGGGATTCGAACTCGGCTCTCCCGAGCCGTTATCCATTACACCACAATGTAATTTATGCTATCTACATTCGGACTATTTTACTCATCTTTCTTTTTTTTTATCACTTCAGGTGTTTATCGATCCGGGTAACATACAGGTAACTGAAACCTTTATTTAATCTACGGGGATAGACTGTTCTTGTTTCATTAGACTTGTCTAATTCTTAAATATTTTATTCATCAGTTATTGCTCGCTAAGAAAATAAATCGAATCATCTACCTTACAATCAAAGAAGTTGATCACCCACATCCTGACGGCAGGCGGCACATAAAAAAAAGGATAACTTTTTTTTAAAAGGGTTAGGTCGTAAGGAGTGTTACCACCAGTGTACGTAAACGTCTCAGCTATCGATCTGTTGTTCTGAGTATCGTGCTATAACTGTCTGGGACCGAAGTCGCTTTACAAAAATAGCCGCAGATAAACATTGGGTATTTTGCTGGATGTGCCCAGCCAGAATGAAAACAAATAAGATTAAAAAGACGGAATGTACAAAAATTGTTTCTCTACGCAATAAAGGAGAAAGAAATGGGATATGAAAAAGAATTATTTCAATTCTTTCCGCGGCATTAACTTTTGGTCAATTTTTCTTTGCTAGCCCAGAAAATGGCGTCGAGACCAAAACTGGACTCAAGGGAGAAATACCGTCAGATACATTCTTATCGTTCTATATTTAAAGTCCCACTGCTGTTTAACTATATGGGTCATCGTTAGGAGATTACGCCCCTTATGCGTATAGCAATTTTATGGTCTTGACGAATATGACACGACCAATGTAACTCTCTATTTATACAGTACTTTTTTTGCTTTTTCTCTCATACGCATGCGCACATAAACGCACACTTCCTGTGTGCGACTAATATAAAGGATTGAGTGATTTTGGCATGATGACCCACGTTAGTGGTGTTTTCTGATGAAGAAGGGAATTGAAGTGGCAAAGATATGATTCTAAAATGAATGCTAAGAATGCTACGGATAGAGAAAGTGGAAAATGAAGGAGTTTTAAGAAGGACAATCATTAAAAAAGAAACTACTGCTAACGACTACAAACAGATGGAATCTTAGGGTACTCATAATGAGTAAAGATGAGTAATGAGTAATTTAAAACTCACAGGGCATGCTGAAGAAAACAGTAGTAGAATGGCAATAGTCTGAGCTGGTGGAATTAAGAAATGAACCCCGTCTGAATATTTGCCATGAAAATAGCGATCAGACAGTTATGCGCCATGCGTAATACACGTTTAGGCGATCATGTATCCTTCGATACATGACTCCAGAGGCAGATTTTTTTTTCTGCAGAAGGTTGCCATTTCTTTCTGCAGTAGATATGTTGCCATCCAAGGCTATAGAACCAGGTCTGTCCTGCTACTTACCCAAAGCTGGGGAGAGAAAATGAGAAATCGTACTTTTCCCAAGGGTATTAGCACGTAAGAGAATATAATGGATTCGACTAGAATTCGAACTCGGCTCTCCGATTCCTCAATCTGAGTCGCTATCCACCGTGCCTCCTGAAAATACCGTTAGAGTAGCGAAAGGCTAGCTTCGTTTCGTTTGTGAAAAGAGGGTGCAGTGTGGAAAATAATTTCTTACCGACAAGACCAGGAGGTTGCTTTTGAACTCTGTCAAGGCTAGACTCTGAGGAGTCGGAAGCTGCAGTCCAGACGTCACAAAAATACTCTGTTGTAGCATACCTAAGGTCGATAATTAGTATGTCACCATTCACATAAATACAGTAGTAAATATTGTATGTTCGTCTTAATTGCAGTTGTTCCCAGGTCCACGCTGATTCTGAGTGCTAGCCCCTGTTAGGGTCCCAGCCATGAGCAAATATTTAACCCCCAAACTGGGGTCAAAACACTATGAATGTATAAATATTCATTTTTGTAGTAAAAATACCAGCAATACATTCTCATATTCAAAAAAGAAAAAGAAAAAAGAACCGTAATAAACTTTTGTAAAAAAAAAATAACAATTACCAAAAATACACTTTTTGAAAAAAAGTTATTACAAGCATTACATTTTTGTAAATAAGCTTATTTCTAATAATATTTGTAAAATAAATCCTAGAATTTTAAAAAGTAACAAAACTCTGCCACAAAATATAAAAGGGGAACCGTATAAACAAACGCCTAGAAAATGGAATTAAAATCGAATTACATCGCCACTCTTACATAACAAATTATAAAGGAAATTGTCTTCAAAACAGAAGATAAAAACAAATCTTAAAACTACTCGATTCGGTGCGAAATGACCCGTGGGGCTTGATGGGCCGGTAAAATCTAAATCTCCATCTTGCAAACATTGTTGGAATTGCCAGCAAAACATTTGTTATGCTATTGTCACTTGCCTGGAAATTATCTCATTCATTGTCCTTATTATTC